ACTTAACAGTGCAACTATTTCAGCAAATATTTAGGTTAACAATTTTTTAAACTTTTTATTGGTTTATTTATATTATAAATGTAAATTTAGAAATTGAAAAATTACTTTTTTTTTTGAAACAGTAATAATAATGATCAAAAATTGGTAAATCAAATAGTGTTTCAGTAAATTAGAAATTGATAATCTAAATGATGCTGTCCTCTTAGCGCAGAAAATTTAATTTTGATAGTTTCTAACTAATTTTCTGCGCTCGTTAAGGCTGTGAAACTGTGTGCCTAAACTGGTAAAAAATTAAACATTTTTTGACAGCTTTTTTAATTGGTAGAGTCTAATACTTGACAAATGAGCTTTTCTACAAATTATACTTTTTTAAGTTTTAAAAGTCAATATTTTTCGCTTAATTAAAGCTTTTTTTGTTTAGGTGAAGTTGTTACTTGAGCTCAAAATAGCTATTTTTGAATTCATAACAAGGTTTATGAATTGTATACTAAGAATTGAATAAATTTTTACACATTGTTTATGCATGAGTAAGTATAGACAAAAATAAACTTTATAAGTTCTTTAACAAAAAAAAAGTTTTGTATTTGGTTTTTTTAATGACAGTATTTGCATAGGTTTTTCTATTAAAAAGAAAATTTATAAAACAAACAATTCTTGAAGCTTCGGACTATAATTAGTTTAGTAAGAAAAAGCAAAAAATTTTGGTAAAGTTTCGCATTTCAACTTCTATTTCATTGCTTTTGTTATAACCTAATTCCAATTTCAAGAAGTAAAAAAACGTAAAAAATTTGAAGCTCTTAACATGAAAATTACAAATTTTTTTTAAATAAAAAATTGGTTAGTTTGTTAAGCAAAGAACAATATTAAAATAGCTACGGTTTTGAGAAGAATAAGCCTTATTGTAACCTTATGAAGTATAATTTGGTATATTTCAAATTTTCAGCTTTGTGATTTGAAGCTAAAGTTTAATTGAAAAAATTTAAAAAAATCTGCAAAATTTGCTAAAAAATGACATGAAATTGCCTGTATAATGAGTGTATGCTTAAAAGATTATCAAATTTTAAAGTACTTTTAGGTTTCTTCAAATTCGCTAAGTAAGTAAACTGCTAATTTAGTAATTATTTCGAAAAGGTCAATGAGTAATCAGATATTCAGATACAGCTAAATGGTTAAGCAAATCTAGACGAGAATCACAAGTCGCCAAAGGTAAATTGATTGATGCTTACAAGTGTGAATTAGAACCGAATTCATAAATTTTTTGACAAAAAACAGATCATTTTATGTATTGGAGAAGAAAATATAGTTATTTAAATGCTCAAATTATGTTTCGTAAGTAGACTGAAAATTGCTGCAATATGATTGTCATTTGATTGTTGAGTATGTTTGTAGTCTTACTGAAAAGTAATAATTAACACGTCTGTTTTTTTTTTGCTTTTTGGTACTGATGCAATAGTTAATCGTTGATTTACGACCTACTAATAAATGTGAAAATGCAAAAAAAAAGTGAGTTATAGCTACCAATTGACAAAAGAAGAAAACCTGGTAAAAAATCAAAAGTACATCATCTGTCTTCATTATTAGTTTTACATTCAAATACCACTTAAACTTCAAAACTGATGATCAACTTCTTATCATCTTCGTAATTAGGTGTTGCATAAAAAATATCTTCAACAACAGTCATTATTTTTCTATGTCTGATTGAATCGTCAGAAAGATGTCAATAAAATTTTAGCTAAATAATGTGCCAAATTATTCTAACTATTAATTTAGCAAAATAATTCATATTTCTTATCGCTTCTCAATTTTTTTATCTAATTGGCTTAATGCTTTGAAAAATTACAGAAGAGACGTTTGCTTATTTTCGTCATTTATATTAAAAACTAGCATGCCATACTATTAAGGTCGTTAAAGCAATATTCATTGCAATTTCCTGTATTTATAGTTTAACAAACATTACAACAAATGATCGTTTGCTTTTCAAAAAATTTTTAAGCTTTATAAAGTTAGAGTAAACAATTATGTTTAAAATAGAATAGCGTAAATTGTTTACACCCACAAATTAGGCAAATTAAAAATGATCAAATTAAACAACATAGCCAAATATATCACTTTGCAGTGGCACAGCGTACAAAAAGTTTATTACCAACTGATTTGTTCTAAAATTTTTTGGACATTCCATTAGAAATTGTGTATAAGGTAAACCATAAAACAAAATTTTATGTTTTTATAAAATCGAGAAATTGCTTCATTTTAACTCACACTAAATGTCCAGTAAAAATATAATTGTTAGATACAGTTGTGGCTCATTAAAGTTGGAAAACAAGATATGAGATGATAACTAAAATAAGAGTGTGATTTGAAGCGGAATAGTGCAGATACACTTTTTAGTCATAATACTTAGTTTATTGAAAAAGAGATATTGTATAATCGAAGAGAAAAAGAGTTCTATGAAAACCTGCTAAAATTTCACCATATATTCCAATTCAAAACTTTACGAGCAGAGCCCAGTGAGCTATGCAGCTGCTACCACAGTTCCACATCTCTTAATCTCCTACAGAGTTTTATAAATTACTCTGAAATACATTAAATCCAACTTTCAAAATTAAATTTCTCAAAGTTATACGTTTAGTCTATACGTCAAAAACGTTCTATTACTGCTAAAATAAGTTGAAAACAGTTTAAATTGTTGCATGAAGTCAAAAACGAAGTACTGAGAGAATTAGAAAAATTCGACAAAATAAACACCATTTAAGGCGTTTCTTTTGCTATAAAGCAATTTTATTTTTTTAAAAGATAAATAAACATTTATAAAAACAGGGATTTCTTACATGACATTGCGCAAAATAGGAAGCTGCAACTGAAAACATCAATATTTTTTAATTTTCTTGTTATTATTGGCTATATCTGCAACAAGTGTCATAGTGCATCACTTTACCCTCGGTTTATCTCCTTCTGTACACATCTTACATCTCTTTACAATAAAAGTTTTTAGAAGATTATAAAGTAATGAGAAAAAAAAGAGTCAAGACTGAATAAGGTTGTGACACAAGAAAAACTAATTCTCTTTCATTTTTAAGAACAAATTTTGTGTAGTGTCATGAAGAGACTTCTCAGATCGAACCTACCAGTTGTCGTTACGTGCGGCCAAATTCTAAAACTTTTATTTTATCTTTCTTTTCGTTGCATAGTCTTTCTTTATTTGGTTCTTCTCATATTGCATTTTCTTTCGCTTAGGTTTTTTTGGGTGAACAAACTTTGTCATGTATCATAACTTATAATCATTAAGTACTACACGAAAATTACTTGTAACGTTAAAGACTTTGCATTTACCGTATTTATTCGCATATTTAATAATAGCTTTACCACAGTGGTAAACGAAAGATCTGAATCGAAATGATTTGACTCCTGTTCATTTGCACATTTAGAATTTTTTAAAACTTTTCACTACTGTACTTTACCAGTTGCACTATTCATTTGCTCGTACGCTTAAAATTTTTTTAAAACTTTTCACTACTGTACTTTACCAAATGCATTGTACGTTAAAATCGGTTGTAAACCATTGGGGCGACGGCAAGTAGTGCTGCGCGTATAAAACAATTTGTCATAATAGTGTTGGTAAGCCAAAAATTTCAAAGTGATTGAGTAACGAGAGTTCAATAAAAAAGCAAAAATTTTTAATATTTTATTCAAATTCAACTATGTTTAAAACATTTTTTGATGTCTTTTTTAACCACGTTGATGTCTAAATTATGTAAAGCAAATTGTTATGGGAAAAATCTTTTTAAAAGAATTGGCTACTAAAAAAGGTTGAACAGCTTATTTATAAACACAAACTTTTGACCAGTTAATATCGTTTTTGAAAAATTAATTCAATAAAAATTTGAAAATTTTTTTTACAAATATCAAATAAAAGAAATATGTGTCAACCTTAAAAACAACAGTCGTTAAAGTTCTTTCTTCAACTACGCTAAAGAAAAAACTTTTTTTTGCTGTACATCAGTAACGTTACAGAAATAGCAAAATTTACAGCATACAGCTAACCAGAAAATAAAAAAGTAATTTACAATTAGATGGCAGTAAAAGTGGTAACTAAATTTGGAAAACATTAAAATGAAAAAATTGCAGAAAAAAAACACCTGTACAGTATTGTTTATTAATGCAGTTTTTTTTTTGAAAAAAAAATAAATGAAAGTTAAAAATAGACAATAGGGCAATAATTCCATTCATTTTTTTTTTTGATTTACGACTGTTATCAACGTGAACAATTTACAGTCTTGAAGCACCAAACAAATATACCAATAATCTTTGGTCACTTAGATGTTCACAGGCTTCCAAAGTTTAAGATCTTAATCAAAAAAAAAAAAAAAAAAAAGAACGCACGTCTTCTTTCTTTCTGGTTTTGAACTGACTAAAAGACATTATTCAATTGCTTAGTGCTTAGTAATATCTTTTATATTTTCACGTATAGTTCAATGATAAACTGTCGTTTAAAGAGCACTATAATAAATATAATATTAACTTTATAAAAAACTTTAAATTGGCAATCACATTTGTTTAAAACAGCTAAAGATTAACACATTACAACTGACGAGAATTAAGTAAACAAGTCATTTTATTATTCAATAACGACTATTATTCAAGCTCTACAAAAAACAGTAGTCATTATTCAATGACTAAAGAACAATATATTCGTTCAAATACAAAAAAATAGTTTTTTGCTCTTAAAGATAAAAATAATTGAAACTTTTGCGTCTGAGGTAGTAAAAACTTGCATCTTTCAAGATTTGAGACGGTAAAATTTATATCAGACCACTCTTTTTTGGTTTTTAGTATAGTTTTTTAAATGAAAAGATTGTATGCTAAAGCTGACGTTGACGCAATAAGTAAAAAATAAATTGTTGACGTTCTACTAAAATGATTTTTTTTGTAAACACTGCTAACAGTATATAACTATGGCGCAGATAAGTTCTACATCAATAGTTATTAAAGTCAGAATAACCATGCTTTTCAAATTTTGCCTTCTTTTCGGTAAGTCTTTTAATTCTTTTCAAATTTCAAACTAAGTTTTGCTTTTAAATTGAGAAAATAATAAATGTAAATTTTTTTACAGATAAGTACTGTCACTGTCCTTCCGCACAGTGTTTAAAAAAATGGTTCTACTGATCCATAAATGATAAAACTTTATTTAATTATCTTCAGCCTGCCTAGCCGTTGCTTATGGAACATCAACTAAAATCTTAGTCAACAACAAAGTTTGGGTGACCGTACCTGTAGATGCCAGAAAAGCTGCTGGCTGGCAGTGCACAGCTTGTGGAGTTCTGTACAACGTCGTAATGGTCGCTGAGGATCTTGCTGCAGTAAATAATTTTGCTTTTCAATTTTAATTTAGTTATTGTAATAAAATTAGGCTAGAAAAACAGCAAAAAACTCACCTATAACAACTTTTTCTATTATATAAATTTGAGACAGCCATAATAGCAATACCTCTATTCCAGGGTCCGTTGACAGCCGCTTTAGAAACCGCCTGCGCTGCAACTGGTCCTGCTGCGGTTGTCTGTGAAGCACTGGTACCGTTTGTCGTAGGTGCAGTTGAGCAATACGGCAAAAAGCTTACTCACGATCAGCTTTGCAAGAAAATTATTAAGGCTTGCTAAAGAATAAACAGTATTACCAAAAAACTTATCTACACGGTATAAACCATACAAGCACTAAAAAACTGCATTTGATGCTTGACATAGTTTTAACACTTGTTTTAGAAAAATAAAAAATTTAGAGTTACGGCGATCGGTGTACAGAAAAAGTTTAAATTCGACACCGAATCAGATTAAAACTCATGTACGTCATTCCGTTTATAAGTAATTTTGAAATGCCTAAAAAAACAATTGACAAAAATGTCGTACAAATTTTGCTGATTCTGTTGAAAAATCGAAAGAAGTGCTGGCCATGTTATGACTCTTTGACTTAGTACTTCTGAAAACATTTTGCAAAAATTTTGAAAAATTTTCTTCTGCTCAAGTTTCTTTGTAATTGTTGACAGTTGATCACTGTCACTCACATCGTAGAAACGAAGAGTTATGTATCCTAAAGGAGTAGACATAGTGAAAGGAAGGAAGCAAATAGCGCAGTGGCAACGCAAAGCGTTGCAGAGTATTTCTAGCTTGCCATGCTGAACTTTTCACAGGATAGTAATTGAAAAAACTTTAGTGAAGTAGAACTTGAAAGTCCTGAAAAAGCAGCTTTTTTTAACAACTCTTAGCAAGGTAACAACAATTCTGCTATTGAAAGAACGAACGAAGTGTGTAGTCAAAATAATGTTTTAGGACAAAGTATTATTTTCTAAACATTTTGATTCACTATAAAGTAATGCGATATTTAGCAGTACAGTATAAAAAATAAAGCAGATGTGTAAGTTGTACAAAAAACTAGATTAACAAGTTCAGAGCAGTAAACAGAGACTTTTTTTTCTATTTTTTATTTTTTTTTCTATTTTTTTCTAATGCTATCAAACAAAGAACTCGGAATGAACTGTTTATTAATTCTTGCTCAACCTGTACTGACAATTTTTGTGACGTTTCTAACAGTTAAAAAAAATTGTTAACAAAAGCGTAAAAAATTTATACACTTCAAAAAAAAACGTAGATTTCTTGGTCATAATTAAAATTAACAGTACTGGTCAATTGTCTGATACTTGATAACGTTAGCTCTATTCTGTTTATAATCTACACATCTTCTTTTGATCAAAAAGCTTCGTGCTAATTGAAAGATAGCTGTCTTTTTTTCTGACAAAAAATTATAAAAATTTGTTATTCTTCGATTTAAACTGCACTTGGTTTTTAAATATTGTCATTCCTGAGACTTTTATGGTATAAAACCGCGAAAGACAAATAGCGGTGAACATACGTTTAATGAACTTTTTAGGGTTTAGAAAAGAGCGCATTGATACTCAGGTGACCACCAGCACTAAAAATGATTATAACAGTGCCTTGGTTTCAACAAGAAACTATTCTTATTCTATTTGAATAAGGCCTTACGTAAAAATTGAATTTATCACACATATCTAAAACAGGTAATGCTATGAAAAAGCTAGAAAAGTATTTTTTGCAGCACCAGCTTTACAAACCTTTACATTATTTGTATCTGTTTTTTCACGTCTTTTGAGGCGAACCTTTGAAAAAGCCACTTGCAACTGATGGTTTAAAGAGAAAAAAGAGCTTTTAAATGATTTCCTTGCAATTTTTACAAGTAGTAATAATAAATTCTAAAATATTAAGTTGACAAACAGATAGAAAATTTAAATTTAAGAACTAAGGCATAACTTGTATTCTTTAACCAGCTAGTGGCAACGTGCCTACGTAAAGTATGAAAATAAAAGAATTCAAGACATGGCTTTCTTTAAGTTTACTGAGAAGAATTAGCAGTATTTCTACATTTTCCACTTGCTTGTTTACATTGCGGCGTAACTACTTTTTGGGCTCTGTCACCGTATTCTACCAAGGATGACTCGCACATTATTACTAAAATAGAGAATAGTCAGTAGCGTGTCGACAATAAATTGCTTTTGTCCTCTTTAGGATTTAAGAAATAAACAGCTTTTTGTAGCCTCTATCCAAAACTAATAATCAATAATTTTTTTGATTTTTGTAATTGATAACAGGCAAGTGTCTTTTTCCAGAAATGACGGCAGCAGGCCAGATACTGTTCTACAAATCGCGTTATCAAAATAGTTCTGCTCATTGGTCAGCAATTTTAGTTCACTCTTTCAAGAAAAAAGCTAAAAGCTTTCATAATTAAATTCAAAAAATCTTTTTTTTGCTTCACATATGTTTACAAAATTTGAGTTTTTTACGCATAATGCATGTATATACATGCAAGTGCATATACAAGTGCATATACATGCAATTCAAGGTTATCGCGCATTTTTTTCAGTCGAGCCTCAGAAAAGCAAGACGTCTTCTTGAAACAATTCCATTTATAACAGCTTATAATTTCAGTCTTTTAAATTAAATAATTGTTTACATACAGATGGCGGATAAACAACTATTTAACAGATGCCTAGCCGCTTTTCTTGTTTACTATTTTCGCGTTTCGCGCTTCTGTCTCACATTCAACAAATACTGATATTCCTTTCACCGATAAGTAAATAAACTCAAATGCTTGAGTTTTACTTAAGTCGTCTTATATCTTTCACTTATTTTAACATCAATGACGATTTTTATTAATATAAACTCTATAAAAATCACAGTTTTTTTGCTCCATTTTTTAACTGATTCTTACAGCATTTTTTTTCTTTATAACAAATTCTTACACTGATCACAAAAAAACGAAAATTTTTTGGTGCTTAAAAGGTTACAAAATTTACTCTCTATTCCATTTTAACTTTGAATGTTTCATCTGTTGTACTTCGCTGGTAGGCTGAACAACTGAACTGTGTGGTTAGCAGACCATCATATCATATCAGAAGGTCAAGGTATATATGAGAAAATTCATGTAAAATTGCATACTTCTTTCAACTAATTTTTTTGATTTTTTTACATTTTCTGCAGGATTTTCTACTCAATTGCAAAACCAAGAAAGTGGAACTTGAAAAGTACAGTCTGATATATATTTACAACATATCAAAATTTGGAAATGGAATTTTTCCGTATCTAGACCTATGAGCCAGAATAAGATGTAAAACTGAAAAAAATTCACTATTTTTACAGTAATCCCATGTATTTTACAATGGCGTAATCATCCGCAGCCGCCCTTGAAGGCCGCAGCGGGCAGCCACAAATACCCCGTATGCTTTAAACCTTGAAACTTTCCTACAAAAGTTCTAGTCCACCTTCATGATATCAATTGTTTATTATTTAACAGAGTTGTAATATGAAACCTTCACTTCAGCGTTTTCTCCTCCTCAACTTCAGAATTGTTCCCATCTTCCACTACTTAAAGTTTTGATTGCATAAGCGAACGGAAGCCTAACTTTTCAAATTAATTTTTCTTTGAATTAACGTGCTAAAGTTCCCAAGAAACAAAAAAAGTTTTAAAAAAAATCTTAATTTAACAGATATTTAGGTAAACCAATGAGTTCTTAAATTTCTAAACTTGATTACATAAAAATTTTTTAAGCAAGCATCAGACAGATTTCGCAAAAGATTTAGGAGAAAATGATAAGGATGTAGAACATTTTTGCAATTAATCTTTGGTACCTGAAACTGGCAAAGACCTCTTATTCTGTAGTACATTTTTTACTCTACTTCCAATACTCTTGCAAAAGCGTTATAACAATGGAATGAATACTAAAAAGAACGAAAATTCCGTAAAAACCGCAAGTGTTTCTACGTTATCATACTCTACTAAAGATATTTCAGTAAAAATTAAATTCCAAATTACAGTGTGTTTTTGGTTTCTTCAAAGTACTGTTAAAATAACTCCTCAATCAATCGGGAGAGCATAATATTTTTTCATCGTGAAGTGTATACCAGTAAGAAATAAAGAGCCAAAAAATTATTGTGCTCGAGTTGAGTAGGACGTCTCTAGTCATCAAAAATTGAAGAAAAGTAGAAGCATAAAAAAATTAAACAATTTTTAGATTGGCCGTAATTCAAGAATATTTACAATTCTAAAAACTTTTGAGACTAAGAGATTTAAAAATATTCAAGATTAAAACGCATTTGGACTACCGTTCGACCTAGAAAAAAAGCGAAGATTTTAGAGCTTTGTTTTGTTTGTAGAAAGAGCTTGTTAACAGCTCCAAAAAAAGCAAAGTACAGAAGCATCGTTCAGCGGATATGCAAAAAATAGTATATAAATAAAAAATAAACGGTTTATGTCGGAAAACATGCATAGAAAAACGAGAAAATACCGCTCAATATATGTTAAAACGAGTTTTTAAACGTAGCAGTCGCACAAAAAAAGTAGCAAAAAAATTATAATATGAAACAAGGGTAAAAACTGAGGAGAATACTGCAGTGAAATTAATATGCCTAGCAGCCAAGGGCTCTGCAGTTTAGAGAATGAGGACACCAAATTTAGACAGCTGTATCAATGCTGCGCAATGTCGGCTGAAAGGCCAAACAAAGTTGCATAACAAATATAAAGCATAAACAGGATAAAAAAAACACGTAAAACCACCTTAGATCAAACTTCCTAGACAAAAAATGAAAACACTGTGACATCATCCTGCATTTCTGATTTTAAATGAACTTTAAAGTACCATATAAATGCAACAATTTTGTTTGTTCAGCGCTTGAATATTAATTATGAGGAGTCTTCTCACCTTGCTGCTGCTTTCCGGCACTGCTGCATCTCAAAAAGGTATGATAACCTCTAGAATTCCTTAACTTATCATAAAAACAAAGTAACCTTGACTCAAAAAACCTTATAACAAAAATCTAGCAATTTTTGAGATAAAATGTTTTCTGACTAGATAACAAAAAAATAACAACCTTTAATGGGATGAACAAAGCCAACGATTTTGCAACCGTGCCTCAGCTAACTCTACTAATTCTGTTCCAGACTGCCGACCATGATGCCGAATTGAAGATATACGACGCGAACGAAATATTTGGCAGCCCTGAAAAGGATTACAAACCAACTTTCACAAAAGCTATAGATCGTAATAATTACGTTCAATTGTATTGTTTGAT